TATGGGATAAAAACGATCCTGACCGATCTCCATTTCACTGGTATGTAGCTCAGAGCCAGACAGGAACGAAGTATTTTCATAAGCAGGTGTATGGCATCCAGTCCTTCTCGGAGGAGGGCCGGAAATATTCCTTCCACACCCGACGATTTGAATCGTGCGAGAGACTTAATGGTCCATCTAACTTTCTCATATGTAACCACCCTTGAGGCCGTTTTGTAATCCATGAGTTCTCTTCACTGGATCCATCCTCATAAATGGTTCATCAGTAAATTTTGAGTCGGAGAAGTGTGTAGATATTAGATGTTGTGATGTATCTTCCGCCGATGTAGTTTTACTTCCATTGGGCAAGTACATCACACCTGCCCCCCTTTTTCTCGATGAAACTTCACGAAGACTTATTGCTGCTGAGGGTTTTGTATCTATATCCCCGCAGTGGGCACGCCAACTGTCCCTTCGTGATTGTCTGATGACTTTTTTGTTCGTTTTCTGGGCCGACTTATATTCTTCCCAATGTTCTTGTACTCCAGTACGCTTCGCCTTGTTCAGACGCTTTCTTGTAAGCCTACGGTGGTTTTCTATTTCCAAATTTCACCATGGCGTTTTCGCATTGTCCGACCTCTCTTTGAGGAAGCAGCTATTTTCATACGATGAAGTGATTGCCTCATTCAGATATGTCACTGTCATATCTATTTCGGCTTCGCTACCGTACTTTGATGGTAGTCCCACTAGTCTTCCTTTCAGTTCCACTCGAAAGGGGTCCCATTTGGTAGTCCGTGGGTTCCTATATTTTTTTTGCAGGTGGGCTTATCCCACCTAACTCGAACAGAATGTGTCGATGGTCCGACAGAGAATCATCTTGTGACACATTCCATGAATGAACTTGGGTCAGCATATATCTCGAGTGCATAATATCAATTCTATGCAGGATTGCCGCCTTGGCATGAGGAACGTTGGTGTTGAACCCTCGTTCACAATTTCCAGATGACTGGTGCTAAGGAATTCGAGAAGAGCGTTTCCCCTGGGATTTGTGTCCTGAATGCCCCATAATACTTGATTGATATTCTTCTGAAAACACCAGATAATTCCAATATTCTTGTAGTATAAACTGAAGCTTTTTGGTTAATTGTGATAGCACGCTGATTTCCAATTTCAGAATACCTGTAGGACAAACGAACCCTTCGTGGTCAGTTTATTCGCAAAGAATCGCATTTAAATTCATTTGTAGTTGGAATCCTGAGGAGATCGAATCGCCAGGTAAAATGTTATGTGTTGATCGTCGGGGCGATTGGGTATTCGATAGTGGCGCAGCTTCCATGATATTATGGTCATGTTACTACGTTGAAATTCCTCATACTGAAATCATGCAGATATCAACTGCCTGGTCATAGTTTGAAATAGTAATGGTTTAGTCAGTATACCAGGTGTCCAAGGTAAGGTATTGGCTCCAATGAAATATCCTATCCATTGCAGAAGTTGAAGAATGTATATTTTTTCTCTCATTTGAGAACGAGGTCCTTTCATCCGAATGATTTTTTGTACAAGTGAATCATTGAATATTTCCTCAAGTTCTTCAATTTGATTCAAATCAACTCCGGGACCAACTTCATAGGAAGAGAGGAATTCCAGATCGAAGTTATTTCAGAGCTCAGAGAATTTGTTCAACATTTATTTTCGGTTTCAAAATACTATTTATCAATTATAGAATGCAGATTTCGAATTATTGCTGTTGATTGATAACAATTTTTTCTAGATGATCTCTAGATTAACGATTTTTTCTTCATCTCGAGTGTGGAATAGGGTGTTTCCGTTAAGGAGATGATTCTGAATGATTTTCAAGAACTCTAGGAAACCAGGTTCCATTTGGAACTGAAGAGTTTAGGGTCAGTTTCAACCGACTGATTGTTTATGTTGATTCTTGTCAAATAGTTGATATTAATTTGTGTTAATAGCAAATTGATGGAATTTCATCATCCAACCTTCTGAATGGATATTTTTCACCGGAATAGATGTTCGTAGGAAAAGATAAACTGTGACACCAGGTAACGGTGGAAACATCATCCCAACTCTAAAGAACGAGAATACAAGTTCTTAATTATCTGATTCTGTACGACAGGACAAACTATGCCTGTAGGCTGAAGAGTCTCATCTTATACTTCGAGTTATTTGTGTCATCATGGAAGAGGTATGGTTCAAGGATACCCCAGCATAATTGAAGTAGGCCACCGCGTAGTATAGTGATCAAAGTCGAATAAAGACTACATGAAGTTCAGATACTACTACTTTTTGTGAAACATGCATTTTTGGTGACATACAAGACATTGGAGAGACCTTGGGAATGCAAATTCCATAGAAAACTTTGCATCTTGAGGATGTCTCATGTACGTCTTTGAGACGAACAGAGTAGGTCTATTGGACTCTGATGTCGATGAGGATTAGACAGAATGTGACTCTTGGAGATGTATCAAAGATGTAGTTTGGCTGGTGTGGCTGAGACGTGAGTTCAAGGTTGATGAGTATACTTCTTTCTTACATCCCATTCGGTTATTTTCTATAATATTACCACTCCTCCTGATGTGGAAATTGCGTGTTGATAGTTGAAACGCAAGGCTTATCAAGTTCAACCATAGATTGAGCTCTTGCATTCGTTCACATAGATCACTTTTTTCTATCAGAAAATTCTTGAAAGAATTTGCCTCAGCTTTCAGTAACGCCAACTGTGGGGACTAAGAATGTAATTATTTGACTGACAATGCGTCATGTATTAAGATAATTGTATCGACATCAGGAAACGTGAGTACACAGAACACAATAGTGCATGATAGTACTCACACTTGACTTTCATAATGTATCATTGCATGATCTAGCGAATGCATGCAGATATACCAACTACAAACATTTTGGAAATATCTCCTCTTATTCCGTCTTGAAAACCCTTTATAGTATCTCCAGCACCATCATCTCGAAATTATTGAAAATATATCTTATGATATTGCGACAACATTTCTTTCCATGTATGATCCTGAATGTTACACAATATATTCAGTGATTCACAACAGTATTACCTGATTGAATTGTATCCTCAGATCACCGATAAAATTGGCGGCCACCAATTGGTCGATGCCACGAAATAGGAAATCAATATGAGAGTCCGTTTATTCTGTGAAAAAACTGCATCGAGCTATTCATGCAAATAAAATTCATTATAACATGCCTTTATGCACAGTTCAGTAAGTAAATATTTCATTAACCTGATTATATTCGACCTGCAACTATAATGAAATATGTCAGTCAGATGAGTTTTGATATGTGTAATATCGCATGACTGATATATCGAGATGATATTAGGAAGTAACATCAGAGGTACCATCATATGAGAACATCCTCAGGTTATGAATTTAGTTAAAGGTCATATGTGAGAGTTGAATTTCATCGAGTTATTCTCTCGAACATGTATCCTGATAAAAATCTGAGAGCATAATTGAATCAATTCAATCGTCAGTGACACATCTTTTCTTCTTCAGTTTCAAATCGGAAAATTCTGGGTACAGTTACCATGTTATTCATAGTGAGTAGGATTTTTGAAGACCTTCTACACCAAGCTATATCAGGAGTACCTGAATCTCGACCCAAACAGTGTGACTCATACCTGACTAGAACTGAGACGGTGTATCTTTCAACCCTGATTAGTTGTCTATTTCTCATTTGAATAGAGATTCTTATTCTGAATTCAATAAAACATCTGAATGGTCGAAGTAATTGAACGGTCACGTTTCCGTCCATCAATGCGAACATCATCGAACCAGGCACTTTCGAATACGAATTGAACTTGAACGAAAGCATAACGTTGATTTTAACAAACCAATGGAATTGTCTTACTTCATGTCTCGTTCGATAAATCAGGAGAGATATGATTAGTAAACGATTCTTTCAAATGAACCCCATCACTATGACCTAATCTTTGCAGTTCAATTCAGAACAGAAGATATCATTTCTTTATCCCCAGTCCTATTGAGTCATCTGAATATACGTGAGGAACTGGATACCATCAACCCCTTCTGGAACTCGTTCATTTCATGTTATAAAAAAAATTGGATCTTTTGAAGTGTGCGGATAGCAATGTAGGATACATTGTTTTCTAGTTGTTACGCTGAACTGGTGCAAAAATAGTCTGAATAACAATTCAGAAGCTTTACTAATCACATAAATGTCATAATCACAAAACTATTACTTTTTGTGATAAAAATATTCTTCGAATTTGTTCAAATTCCAACTATGAATCTGATATTGTGATGATATATAATGTATTTGTATGAGAGTGATTGTATGAGTCGCAACTAATTCATCTCACATTATTTTGTATATTTTGTGAAATGAAAAAGTTATTGGTGGAGGCGATAATCTCTTGGTCCTAAGGTATATAGTAAAGAATAATCATACATACCCCAATAAACTTAGCAGAACCACTTCAATATTTCGGATTTGCAATAGTACTATAATTTGTTACTAATTTAGTACTAATTTATTACCATATTCGCAAATTTATTACCCTTCATTAAACAGAAAAAACCAACGGCTCTGCTAGCTATATGTCAACCTAGCAGAGCCATAGCTAAATAATCATTATTTTGAAAACTTCAAATATACCATAATTTATTACTATTTTATTACTAACTTATAACTGGATGATGCTAATTGAAAAGGAACCAACCGCCAAATCGCATGAAATAAGATGAAGGTTCCATGCGACAGCTTGGCATTCATTCATTATTCTGTGAAAAGTATCAAGCGCCTACTGGATTTCTAGCGACATCTATCGACTAAAGACCTAAGCGACATCGAAGAAAAAAGCAGTTTCCTGTTATTGAAAGAGATCCAACTGACGTTACCGTTTATAGAAAATGATCAGTGTCACTTGGTTCCTTTTATGTTTTAAGTCATTCGTGTTTGTGATAACAGTGAGTGTTGGTTTTCATGTATTTCGTATTCTATACGGACAGAAAATGGGTAAAAGAGCTCAAATCATTGTCGATAAGGCATTACGACTCAAGGAGGATAACCAGTCCGAACCGAAAAGACTGAAACTCAACCAATGTAATGAAGTGAGTAAATTTGTATAGGTTATGTCTCGAAAGTATTCAGTTCTTAATATTTTTTCTTGAGAATCATTGCATTTCCTTGTGAATATTCGTTCTTTTTAGACATTTCACAGTTTTTGTTCAGTTTTTTCTGGTATTCTTATGGAGAATGATATCTAAAACGAACCAACCGCCATTAAGCCATTATAGTTGGAGCCGAATCACGAACCAAAGGGCGAATGGTTCTTTTTAGATATTATTTCGGGAATGTGAAGAAATATTCATTACGTATTTATTTTGCATCCCCAAGGAACCATGTGGATCTGGTCATCCACAGAATACCACTTCTAAAGAAGTAGATTCATCAGGTAAGTGTACACATAGGTACCAATACATTTTTCGCGAATACTTGAATACATTCTGTATACTGACCTATTCTTACTTATTGAAGGTGCAAACATTCAGAACTTTGAGAATAAAAAAACGAACAACCAGATCATTCAAGTTCCGAATCTTGAAGACCCAACTATCACCGAATCAAGTCAGAATATAATAATCAAGGAAATTCTTGTGTTCAAAAGTCCAATCGAAAAAATTCAGATTCCTAGGCTATGTTCATCAGGTAAAAATATTCATTTCGAAATCAAATACATTCCATTACCTATCTAGAAATCCATTGTTATTAACTTCAGGGATACACACTGATGAAAACAAGGAGAATGAATTGAGAAATAAACATTCACCTCTGAATTTGAAAGTGATAGTTGAAGGAGTTCCTATTATTGACGAATTCAATGAAGGCATCGTAATTTCTCATCCAATTAGCCCAGGTGAAAAATCATAATGATAATAATCATTTAAAATGATAGTATTTAATAATTTCAATACATAAAATCAAAATTTACAGAATATCCCTTTTATTTCAGGAACGAACATTATGAATACAGAACATAAAGAACCAGAAAACTTGGAGTTTCAATGCCAGAACAATGAAGACTTACTTGAAGAAATTGCGATTCCTGATGAGGACTCACTTGAAGAAATGGTTATTGATAATAATTACAATAATTACGAATTAAATAACATTGAACAGGAAATACAAAACGAAGATTCCGATGATAGTATGAAAGACCGAGACTATATTCCTGATTCGGAAAGTGTTAGTAGTTTAGAGGAAGGAGAAGTTGACTTGCTATTTGATGAAGAGGAGATTGAGAGGAAGCAGAAATTAAAGCAAGAAAAGGAAAATTGGAAAGGACGTTCCAAGAAAGGACGGAATAATAAATATCCTGGACAAACTTTCGCCACAAGAAAGAAATTGAAAGATGCCAATAAGACTCACTACACTGTCAAAGGAAAATTGAAAGAAGCCAAACAATTCATCGACTACAAATGCAGCTGTCTGAAAAAATGCAGTGAAAAATTATCAGGAGATGAAAAAGGAATATATTTCAAAAATTTTTATGATTTAGCATCATACGATTTGCAAACTAGTTATATCGCAGCAACAGTCAAAGAAATGCCTATTAAGAGAAAACGAGCTAAAAATGGTCCAGGTAAATCTTATACTAGAGTCTATATGCTTGGAAAGGTTGAAGTTTGCCGGGATACTTATATAAACACTTATCAGATATCTACTAAGAGAGTAAATACTGCATTAGAAAAAAAACGTAGCTCCCACATAAAAGATGAGCGAGGAAAATCTGGAGGTAAGAAGAAAGTTGATGAAGAAATAATAAATCTAATCATCAATCATATAAAGAAATTTCCAACCTATGTTTCTCATTACTCTCGATCAGAAACTGAGGCGAAATTCTTGCCTTACGACCTTACTGAGAGTAAAATGTAGGAACTGTATATAGCTGACAATCATCCAAAAGTTAGTTTTCAGTTCTTCAAAAATATATTTTATGAACATTTCAATTTGAAACGGAAACCCCCAATTAAAGATACATGTAACAAGTGTGACATGTATTCTTCACAAGTGAAAAATGCACAAGATGAGAACCAACAACTAGTTTTGAAACAACAACATGATGTGCATCTTGAAAGGGCGCAGCTTGCTAGAGAACAGCTCAACAAAGATATGAGAGAAGCGAGTAAAAACCGACATATTGAAACCCTTTGTTATGATATGGAAAAGGTTCTGGGATTACCTAAGTTACCAACAAATATTGTCTATTATAAGAGACAATTAAGTATTTTCAATGAGGGTATTCATTCAGGATCAACGAATACTCCATATTGCTTTTTGTGGAAAGATGGGGTAGCAGGGCGAGGAGCCCAAGAAGTCGGCTCATGTATTAAAAAATTCATCGATGTGCACCTTAAGAAGGGAGTAGAGGAATTAATATTGTGGTCAGATAGCTGTGGTGGCCAAAATCGTAACATAAAAATTGTGATTATGTTAAAAACAGTTTTGATGCAGCACCCAACATTGAATGTAGTTTATTTCAAATATCTTGAGTCCGGGCACAGTTTTTTGCCGAACGACACAGATTTTGGGCAAATAGAAAGGGCGCTCAAAAATCAGGTTCGCATTTATACACTGAAAGATTTTATGTCAGTAATAGGAAATTGTAAGAAACATCATAAATTTGTAATAAACCTGATGGAGTCCGATGATTTTTACTCAACTGAGGATATTGAGAAACAAATTTCAAACAGGAAATTGACTACTAATAAAGAGAAAGTGAGTTGGTTGAAAACAAAAATAATAAAACTTGAGAAGTCGAAACCAAATTCGATATTTTTGTGTGAGTCCCACTCACCTGAAGAGAATGATTTCAAAGAAATAGATATTTTGAAAATAACACGAGACAAAAAAATTCCCATTGATCCTCAAAAATTGAAAGTTCTTTACCCTGAAGGAAAAGCCATCTCGAAGAAAAAATGGGATGACATCAAGACCTTACTAAAGTTTCTTCCCAAAGATGCAATTGACTTTTACAGAGTCGAGAATATCGAGAACTTTGAGGATGATATCGAAGGTTTTGGCTCAAAAACTGATTTTGACTATGAAGATGCAGTCTGAGTCTCATAATATTTTTCCTAGTTATTGAGATACTTTGTTTTATGAGTCTGGAAATAAAATTAGTTGTTCCTTTAAAACGACCCATTTCATTGATTCCCTTTAATTTAAACAGAACCATGGGATTTGGATCTTTTTTGAGTAATACAACACGATTGTTTGATTATTGAGAAGGAACCATCCACCAAAAAAAATAGAAAATAGTTGTTTTGACACATGAAAAGAAGATAATCCACTATTCACTATCATTCGATCCAAACTTGCAATATTATTTCATAAAAAAAAATTTGAAGATATGATAATTTCAAAAGAACAAGAAATTTGTTATAACCGCTGATTTCCCAAAATGGATATGTGGCACTTGGTTCCTTTTCAATTATCATCATCCAACTATAATCACGAATTGTTTACTCATTATTTCAAGGAAAAAAACGACGATTTGTCTATCTCGAACTCAACCTAGCAAAACCAAAACTCAAATCACATGCTTTTTGAAATTCTGTTGTATCATCGATAAGTTACTAATTTATTACTAATTTATCACCACATTCGCAAATTTTCAACACTTCATTCAACAGGGAAAACCAACGGCTCTGCTAGCTTACTGTCAAACTAGCAGAGCCATAGCTAAACAATTATTATTTTGAAAACTTCAAATATACCATGATTTATTACTATTTTATTAGTAATTTATAACTATAATCAGAGCTGGGCAGTACTCGAGTACAAGTACTCAAATATTGTACTCTGAGTTCATTTTGTGTACTTAGTACCCAGTACCCGAGTACATTTTCAATAAAGTACCCGGTACTCGTACCCGTAGCATTTCGGGAAAAGTACCCGGTACCCGCGTTTATTAAACGAGTACATTTTCCGGGTACTTTTTGCAAGAATAAACTTGTCTGTGCATATGCGAGTGCAACACGGAAAACCGCTGTTATATGTTATATCAGTCAGCACTTCAATCAGAACCAAACGCGGAGTTTTTGTTTTGTACACTGTGTAACAGTTATAGAGTCAAGTGTTTTTTTGTACCGTTTCTGTTGTCTTCTTAAGACTGAACCACACTAAAATAAGAGGTAAGGGTATATATAGTAATTTGCAATAATATTTCTCTTATATAGAGATACGTATAGACGTGAACAACGACAAATAAGTAGTTTAATTTTTGCTTTAATTTACGTATTAGTAATGAATAAGAAATGAGTGGGTCAATTTTATAATTTGTGGAAGACAATTGTTGAAGTTGTTGATATTATTATTGTCAATAATAACTGATACTGATGCAAAATTTCTCAATTCTCTATTCAAATGTACTTGAAATGAGTACCCGTGAAATTCGGGTACTTGTACTCGGAGTACTTTACTCTGAGTACATCCAATGAGTGGGGTACTCGGTACTCTGTACTCGTTCTTCAATTATAAACAGTACCCGGTACCCGGTACTCGAGTACAATTTATCAGTACCTGGCCCAGCTCTGACTATAATCACGAATTTTTTATTTAATTCAATTTGAACATGTGATTTGAGTTTTGGTTCTGCTAGGTTGAGATCGAGATAGTCAATTCGTCGTTTTTTTCCTTGAAATGATGAGTAAAAAATTCGTGATTATAGTTATAAATTACTAATAAAATAGTAATAAATTATGGTATATTTGAAGTTTTCAAAATAATAATTATTTAGCTATGGCTCTGCTAGTTTGACAGTAAGCTAGCAGAGCCGTTGGTTTTCCCTGTTGAATGAAGTGTTAGAAATTTGCGAATGTGGTGATAAATTAGTAATAAATTAGTAACTTATCGATGATACAACAGAATTTCAAAAAGCATGTGATTTGAGTTTTGGTTTTGCTAGGTTGAGTTCGAGATAGACAAATCGTAGTTTTTTTCCTTGAAATAATGAGTAAACAATTCGTGATTATAGTTTTAAGTTAGTAATAAAATAGTAATAAATTATGGTATATTTGAAGTTTTCAAAATAATGATTGTTTAGCTATGGCTCTGCTAGGTTGACAGCAAGCTAGCAGAGCCGTTGGTTTTCCCTGTTGAATGAAGTGTTAGAAATCTGCGAATGTGATAATAAATTAGTAATCAATTAGTAACTTATCGATGATACAAAAGAATTTCAAAAAACATGTGATTTGAGTTTTGGTTCTGCTAGGTTGAGATCGAGATAGACAAATCGTCGTTTTTTTTTTCTTGAAATGATGAGTAAAAAATTCGTGATTATAGTTATAAGTTAGTAATAAAATAGTTATAAATAATGGTATATTTAAAATTTTCAAAATATCAAATTTTCAGCTATGGTTCTGCTAGGTTGACATAAAGCTAGCAGAGCCGTTGGTTTTTTCTGTTTAATGAAGGGTAATAAATTTGCGAATATGGTAATAAATTAGTACTAAATTAGTAACAAATTATAGTACTATTGCAAATCCGAAATATTGAAGTGGTTCTGCTAAGTTTATTGGGGTATCATACCCATTTCCGCCATTTCTATGATATATCTCTACAATTCATTGATGAAATAAAATGCTCTAAGTCGGTCGATCACACTTTATATCAAAAAATTGTGACAGTGACCGGTTTCGGCACAACGGCCATCATCAGACTGAAATGACCTGAATTACATCACTAATGTTGAGGAAACACATGTATATGGTGTCGGAATGAAGCAAACCTGTTATGGGTTAGGAAAACAAACAGTACCATAGAGATCAAATGAAATAATCAGTTTCGTGATTATTTGGATTCAGTTCCATTCTTTGGAGCGGCTGAAGAGCCAGAAAAATCTGACTCTAATGATATTGATCATTTCAAAAGAGATGAAATTACTTTTCGAATGTGAAAAACATTGTCGAAATAAAGGTAAATAGAAAAACAATCTGAAGGATTGACAGTATTGACATAAAGTAGACATTGGACAATGTTGACAAATGACAGGAATATGAAATTGATTGACATTGTCAGAGAAAACTGATTCACACAACCTAGCAATCAATAGTGAGGAGGTGAAAACAGTATAGGAAGAAGATATGACGAAAGCAGAAGAGGAAATAAAATAAATGAATAAGATAAGAGTAGACAAAACAAGACACAAGGTGGAAAAGACGAAGAAAAAGGCAGAAAAGGGAAGAGATGGAGAAAATGGAAAGGAATTGCAATCTGAGTCTGAAAACATTTTAACAGAGTCGGACCCAACTGGACAAACTTGAAAACAAGATTATTATGAAAAACGTAAAGTGCGGAAAATCTGAGTACGTTCAGAGTTCGTCTGATTGATAAGGCACAACAAATTTGGGTTATTGATACATTTCTGGATTTCCATAATTTCAAGGAGATGAAGTACAATACCTTTATCGATAACATGGAGAATATCAGAATTGTGAGTAACATCGAAAGTATGATCTGAATCAATTATGTGATTGGCAAAAAAAGAAGGAGAATTGGAACCGATAGTTGAAAGAGATTTTGATATCAACCGATTATGCTCAGAGAAACGAATGTCGAAACTTCTACCTGTTTGCCCAATATGAGCAGCATCACAATCGTTATATTCGAGTATGTAAATTCCTGATATTCCGTTCAAAGGGTGTGGGGCCACTTTGAGAATGAATGATTTTCATAGTTTAACTCTAAAATTATTCTTCATAGGTAAGTTTGCTAGGTTTGATGACCTGATCTTCAAAGACATTTTTGTTTCAAACATATTTTAGTAAATAGAAGTGTCCCTCTACTCATTTTTGTGATGATGAATCTTGTTCGTGAATGGAATAATTAACAGGGTCTCATATTCAAATGGATGACCCATTGAAATCCTTCCA